AGGCGATCTCGAATGAAGACGATGTGGAGGGCAAAAAAAAAGGACCATGACCAAGACGAAAAGCGGAAACATCGGCGCCTACGGTCAGGAAGCTTTTGCTTAGCGCGTCGCGGCGGCGGCCTAGGCGACACGCTATGCCCTGCAAGCGGATGGCGTGTCGCTCCGCTCCGCGGGGCGGGAGGCTGCGAACAGCCCGGGACGTTGACGCCTGGGAATGGGAAAGTGGATAGCGCGTCGCGCCGAAACGTGGTGGGGCAGAACCGTCGGAGCGACCCGCTGATCCGAAGTTTCTGATCGTATTGCGGTCACCGTCCATCTTAGCCACCGTCGATTCGCGGGTCATACTCGCGAATCGGCGGCGGCCGGCATGGACTGTGACCAAGATCGGTGTCGCCAAGATCTCGTGACGTCTTGCACATGGTCAGCCTGTGTCCTCCCTCGACGATGGCGACTAGCCCACCTGCGCTCGCAACCCAAAGAGTGCTAAGCTTGCGCGATAAAAAGCAAGCAGGCCTAACGTGATATTTAGCCACCCTGGCGAAGACTGGAGGCTAGACGTCGGCAGCTCAGCCTTCGGCGGAGACCCCGACAAGGCGGCCCCCAGCCCCGCTTGCGGGCGCAAGCAGGAGTTGGGGGAGTGGAAGCCGGGAGAGGAGGATGGGGAGGGGGAGAAATTAAGGATGACGTATAATCTTCTGGAACCACCACAAAGGACGAAACGGCAAACTACTCATGCAAACTCGATGTTGGTGCCGATCTCACTGTCGAGCACCGGCATGAAGTCGCCCAATAAAAAAGAGTCTATCGCATGAAGTATAGAAGACGGCAACAAGCCCCCATTACGCTGCGCGCGCAACTTCTGAATCAAAGCCATCCGTTGCTGTGAGAAAGCGATCTCTCGATGCCGCCACTTCTTCAGAAACTGAATCCTGCTGTTTCGAGCTCGCGAGTAAAGATGCTCATCTTCAACCTCATAATTCTCGTCGATTGCCGCAATGATCTGATTGATGGCAAACCGCGTTGACAAGCCATGGGTCATCATTGTATCGACCACGCCGCCCAAGCACTCCAAGATCCGGCGATTCTCACTCGGTGAACCCTCCGTGGCACTTTCGTGCGTGATGGTCAACACAATGTGCATGGGCAAGTCGGTAAGAAACAACTCCTGACCACCATTCTGCACTCCTCGCATCTGCTGGATGAGCCCTGCTTCGAAACAAGCCTGGGCATACCTGCCCCTGCTCAAACTACAATACAGCTCGTTGCTTTGAGAGAGCACCTCGGCCATTCGTGCTGGCCGCATTCCCATTTCGACCAAATCGCGGCACAACTGCTGCGGAGGTTCATTCACATACAATCGCTCACCCGAGTTAAAGTCCTGGCGTATCTCGTCCGACCAATCGACTTCATCACATATAAGTTCGCGCGCGCATTGGAACAAAGCCGCGTCAAGGAGGTTGCTGCCGTCAGAGTCGCTGAGTTCAAACATTGACGTTCTCCCTGCCTTCAGCGCCTCACGAGCAAATCTCGCATTCACGGTATAACCAAAAGGGCCTTCGCCAGGATCTTCCACCACATCGTACCAAGTGATACCACTACAAATCGCCAACGCCTTCTCGCAAGTATCCCGGTCCTTTCCTCGCAATGGTTCGGATGAGATAGGCATGTTAAGCACATCATCTAGGTTCACAACGTCGGTGTCGGGTCGAAACATTGCCGTTTTCAAATCAACTCCAGAATCAATCAACTCTCTCAGCTTCTCCCAATCGACCTCATATTCTTCGACTATCCTAGCGCGGATGATGCCACACCATGGCGCCGACATGTGCAACTGCGGACTGGCAACGACCATCGGGTGTGTGACCGTGACACTATGGTGCTGTTGTCCTCTTGAGCCAGAATGGGTACTCTAGTAAACAATGACCTGGATGCACTACGGCAATCTTGGTTTCCATGCGCAAGCATCTGTTTCTACGCTCAAGAAGACGGGAACGGAACATTTCAGATGACGACCGCGGTAATAGATCGAGCCTCACAAACTAAACGGTCAATCAACTACGAATGGTGTGCTGCGAGCCTGGCCGACATTCAGGCCCGTGGCAGTACATACATCGAACCACTGCTGATTCCTGGGCTGCAACACCTGGAACAATGAAACCATCGCTCGTTTCGCGCTCGCTCAGAATCTGAGTGCCTTGGAACCTAGCGTATAACGCACACGGGGGACGGCGACCAGAGAAACGGAGCCGCGGGCTTCGAGGCATACGGTTCCGTAGCCCAGTGCGTGATTCGGGTCAGTGCTCGGGTCACGACGAGTGCACAACGAATTGCAAATTCGCATTCAATTCTACCTGCTGCTGCACCTCCCCGCCTCAGCACTATCCGGCAGCCAATGTCTGGGAGCGGGGACGCGGGGCAACTGGGAGGAGGTGCAAGAGGAAGCAGGTGGAGGGATGAGGGAGGAGGGAGGAGAAGGAGGAAGGCTGGAGGAGATCGAGGAAGAGGGTGGGCAAGAGCAAAAGGGACGAGGAATAACAAAGAAAGAGGAGGGGATGCGGATAATTCTACGGGATTCCATAAGAGCTACAGGTGGCGTAGCCGAACCCCTTACCACGACGGAAATGGGGGGTCCCTTGAGGGCCTAGATCCGTCGGAACCTGGAGACAGACGCCTCTGCGACCAGCGCCGATGGCCCATGATGACTCGGGTGTTGCCCTGACAAATCCTGGCCATCTGCTCGTGGCCCTTCTGAGAAGGCGTGCGCACCCTAGTGGGGCGACGCGTATCCGTCGAGGCGGTTTGGCCACATAGATAACACAACTGCAAGGGAAACCGAGGCCTGAAAACCAGGCGATGGGATGCATTTAACTCTTTGTTCCCCGCCACGGCCCCACTGGCCGCCCGTTCAGTCAAGTTCACGGCCTGGCCGGTGCTAGGCTCTGCCGCTGGACACACTGCCGAAGCTGCTTGGAGTATACCTAGATCATGCTGGATGCAATGGCTAAGCGTGCAAATCCATTTGGTGTGGGCCCAAACCCACCACTGCGCACTAATGAGAGGAGCCGTGTCCCGTGCACATTGTCCCGTGCACTCTTTGCCTCACGCCTCTTCTTGGGCCGAATGAACTTCCATGGTGCGGTGGCAATGGTGTCTACCATGGCCTGAACAGCCCTCCGACGCATGGGGCGGGCAGACCAGACCCCCTTGTCTGTGTCAGGGGCCCGACGGCCCTTGAGGGCCAGCACCCACGAACGATCCGCGGCGCCCGCAGTATGCTCATCGGCGAGATTGTTACCCATCGCGAAGTGACACTGCAGTAGGGACAGGGCAGGGTCATCGTGGTCCACATGCGAGGGATTCCAAATCGCCTGGACGGCTCCTAAACGATATCTGACCGATTCAAGCATTCTAAACCAAAGACCAGCATTCTTGCAACCCGATCTCCCAGCCCGCCAGCTGATTCAGCCCTGGTGTAGCGCCGCATTGTCAGTAACGAAGATGACGGGACCCGTCAAGGCTTTGAGGCCAAGCTCGAACGCAAAGAGCTCCGCTCTGGGGAAGATCGGGCGGCGCCCCCCGGATGTGCTAGCGAGCCCCGCCAGCAGCTCGCATCCCGTGTTGGTGGGCCGCAGCGTCACCGCGGCTGCTCCAACCCTTCGGCGGCGTGGGTCGCTACTGCAGCGGCCTGCCGACCCGCCCCCAAAGTCAAAAGCGGCCCCGCTGGTCTCGATCGAGAGCTTCATACGGCTACACTGGGGCCTCAACAACATCGGACCCGAGGGCCTACTCCATACCCCCACTGTTGATTCAACTGGGGAACGGTCAGATGCTTGGGGGGCAATCCGCGCAGCCATAGAGAAGGCATCGATTCAGTCTTCACGGACTAACGACTGCGGCGCAGTGCGAGCGGGCTTCGGGCTTATCTACGTTACATGGGCACGTCCAGATGCGATGGTAGCATAAGCCAGGGGTGGCGCCGCATCTCGGGCACAAAGAGAATGCTGAGAATCCCGCCTCGCTCTGCCTATCGTGAAGCCATTGTCCCTGAAAGCGCTGCAACAAGCTGGCCGATCTGACTACCAGCTTCCTTCTTGAGTATCCTGGCAAGGTGATCCGTGGCGGGCGCGAGGCCCGCCCTTTCCTCGGCGCCTTCACCGAAAAGATGCACAGCCGCCTGGCGCCAAAAATGCGCCATGGTGTCGTCCCCGGATTTCGAAACCAAATCAGACAAATCAGAATCTCCCCCTTCGCGCCCCTTGGGGCGCAGGGAAAAACCCAAATGTCGACGTCGGTCGCATTCGTGGGTCGGCGCCGCTCCGTCGCCGACCTGGCCTCCAGCCCGCGCCAAGAAATGCTGCCATGACATCTGCGATGGGCCCCCGGATCCTGCGCCACCGGCGATCATCTAACCCCTCCCAAATCGTTTCAGGATAGGCTGCCAAGATCGAGATGCGCGCTATGGGGCTCGGGGTTTCGGCCAAAGAAGTCGCGCCACGTTGACGGGACCTGGCAGCGAAGGGGCAGGGCCGGGCCCTGGCCACCGCGCCGCAAGCCTAACACCGTCGTCGACAGAAAGGCACCTCCAAGGACCCCCCCGCCACAGCATGCTTCGCTTGCCACCTGAGCCGGGGGGCAACCGAACCAGCGAAGCCCAGGGCTCGGCGTCCGCGCGCCGCTTGCGGCACCGATTCCTGAAGACAGCATCTTCGAGCTATCTTTCTGTGAGCGTCCTGCCCGCGGAATCGAAACGCGCGGCCTGCGCGGCGCCGAGCGTTAGCCGCGCGCTCCACAGCCGTCTTGCACGTCCTGCGCTTGGACCCCGTGGAATCGCATCCGAGATCGACAGCGCGAGGAGCGAGGCTGATGGGCGGGCCGAGGCCCGCATAGACGGGCAGCGGCTCCTCGCCGAGAGCTTTGGGAGAGACCAGGGACCTTGACTTGTTCGAGACAGGGAGCTCCCTCTCTTAAAACTCATGGCGCGATGACTTCAGTGGCTTAACTTAGCAGAGAGACGACCTGCTGCTGAACGCCTTCGCCCCTGATCGCTGCGTCGTCTCGAAACGCCAGAAAAAACCACCGAGCCACCGTCGACTGGGCCCCATATCGAGTGCGCACGCGCTCCACAAACAGCTTCGCCAACTTAACTCTGTGAGCCGATCCAATCACGATGGAGCGAGTCGGAAGATGCGGGGCGCTGGCCATCGGGCGGGCATCGAGGGCCCGAGGGGCCAGGAACGTCTGAACCTCGAGTAGGGAAGCAGCACAAGGAAACCCCGCCTCCATGGAAACCCGCACCAACTTGCACATGCTGACATGCATGGAAGATGTCCCCGAGTCAAGCAGCACTATGGCGAACTGGAAGCCGAGTTCGTCAGCCGCCTCGCCGAGGACTGCCCTCAGCAGCGCCGCGCGGAGGGCTGATGTGCCCCGTGCGGCAGCGTCCCAAACGCGCGCTTGCTGGGCCGACCACTGGTCGGTGGCTGCAGCACGAGCTCGGGGCCAGGCCCCCATCGCTGCGGGGAGGGCGCCCACGACGCTGCCCCCCCGCTGGCTCGGGGGGGGTCGCGCAGATAATTGGCCAAATTTACGTGGGCCAGGACCCTGCAGCCTCGGCGCTACTGAGCAATCAAAGCCCGCTCGGCCGCCGCCGGGCACCCGCGGGAGATCGACCCGGCTGAGAACGTCAACCGCGCGGGCACTGGTGGCGGGCAGCCCGGCAACGATACCCCCGCTGGAAGCCCGCTCAAGTGCCGGCGGAGGATCCTCGCGAGCAGCTGCGCGAAGGTCCCGCATGCTTGGGTGCGTTCGGCCCTCGCGGTGCCCGCGTCCTGCCACAGCGGCCCCCACTGGAACGTCTCGGCGGCCATGGTCGCCAAAAGATCTGACGTCGCCCCATCCAACCTTATCGTCGGCCAGAGTCTCCAGTCGTTCGCGGGCGAGCCTCGACGCGACTGCGCGCCCGCCCTGGGCGCGCCCGCCGGCAGATCCTCGGCCCAGGCGACGAGGGAAGCAGCCGGGGCTCGGCTCCACGATCGCGCCACCCAGCCCGCCGCGCCCCCAAGGATCTGCTCCAGGTTCTCGATGCCGACGACGTCAGAAAGGCTGATTAAATGGATGCATGCCGTCGAACCTAGCCGCGTATTCGGCCGACGTTGTCCGCGGCGCAAACAGCGTGGCCGTGGGCTGCGCGCTGCCTTGCCCTATCAGCTCGCCCATGGAGTTGCGCAAGGTGGCCTGCGGGTCAAGATTGCGACCGCGATGGCGTAGGGCGGCGAACCATTGTCGTCGGCGAATCCAGCGCCCACCGCCACTCCACGGCCGTCGATCCCACGCGCGCCGCCCCGGCGATGGGCGGAGCCTGGCCCATCGGGGGCCGCCGGGGCCAGATCGGCCATGGTACTTGCCCCGGCCGTCTGACTCCACCTGCCCCGTGATGAGCAATGCCTGTCCTGCGGCGCGCAACCACTTGGCGCGCTCCACTGTGGCCGCGTCTACCTCCGCTCCGCCGATGGTGGCCCTTGCCTCGCTCCCGTTCTGGATTCCCTGAGCCTCGGGAGACGGGGGGCCGCGACGCGTTGGCCCCGAGCGCCTGGGTTCGATGTCGCGGGGGGCTGCACCCTGCACCGGCGCCTCTTCATCTGCTGGCTGGCGGATGCGATGGAAGACGTTCATGAAATCAGGCTCGAGGCGATCCCTGCACTCGGCATGCGCGGCCGCTCTCGCCCGCGGGCGCCCGCTCCAAGGCTGGGCCTCGGCGCGCGGGCGGGGCCTCGACGGGGAGGGAGGCAGCAGCGTCCAAAGCCCGACGCCACCACTCCGCGCGCGTCCGCCACGAGCCCGCGACGCCCATGGTGGCAGACGCCTGAGACTCGAGCGCACGTCGCACTGCTGCCCGCCGCGACTACGACGCCGTCTATCACCTCCAGCCACCCGGAACCCATGAGTTCGCACGGCTCGATGTTCCCCCCCGCAGCGACGAGCCGCGGGCCCGCCAGCGAGCGCGCGACATGGATGACACGCGGCACGCGATGCCACCCCCGAGCGAGTCGCCAGGGAAGAGACAATGTCGATGACCATCACGCTCCCTCTCTCGGTAGAGAGCGACGGGACAAGACCTCCGCATCACGCGGAGCTTGGCCTCGGAATCGGCCCCAGGTGGCGGTTGCGAGGCACCGCTTGGCGAACCGCATCTCGCCGCCTCGTGCCGGTGACGCTCTTGGACGACTGCTCCGCTGCCGTGGATATCATTTTCCAGCCGTCCTTGAGCATCTCGATCTTCGCGTCGTCTCCCTTGCCCGCTGGCAGATGGGCCTCGATCCTAAATCCGTGGGTCCGACACGTCGGGACGGGGGGAAAGCCCGCCCCGAAACCATGAAGCCAATGCCGCTGGTCGGCGACCGCCGCTCATCCACGCGCCTTATCATCGGCGAGCGAGGGGGGGGAGTGATACGGGGCGGGCCTGCTCAGAAGATTCGGAGGTCCCCCAGCCTTCGGAGAAGT